CACAATTCAGAGTTTACCCCTGTCTCCCCCTCGTCTTGGTGGAGGGACATGATCAATAGCCACAAATTTAAGGGTTGATAATGGGTGATGGAAAGCCAAAAAATGTTTAGCAACTGGTTGATCAGAATTGCCATCCCTGTAAGCTATCCGTATGCTTGATCTGTGACCCCTAATTCTTTCGCATAGTGGGGTCTCAGTTTTCCCAATGCATACTAGTCCACATGGGCAGGATAGTTTATAGATTATGTTAATCAAAAGAAGTCTTGCAAGTGATGGTATATCGTATTTGAAAGTTTTCATTCTTGTGAGGATGTTGAAAGGTACGTGAGGGAGTCATATGGCCACAAGTAACACAGCCCAAACAACGAATACTTCCCTGACTTTGTATAGCTGTTCCTTTATCGTAACTTCTCACTGGATCAGTATGTACTAATAGATCTCTCAAATTCTTATTCCTGCGATAGCAGACTAGTGGTGGTTCTTTAAATACTTTGGGGAGCATGTCATTACACGCTATCATCTTCCAGTTGTCTCTCACAATTTTGGAGATCTTTGGGGATGCATCATGGAAGGTAGTGGGGAAAATTAATCTCTGGGCTTTCTTATCACCTTTATTCGAGCTTGCAGACTTTGCCTCCTCTAATGCTCTGGTTAAATCCTTGTGACGATAGCCATGTTCACGAAATTTTTCCACCATCTCTTCTCTTAGGTGTTCGAGGATGTAGCTTTAGTAGATATTGGCTAAGTTGTTGATCTAAATATCCTGCCTCCATTCCTCTTTTAACAACTGCTTCAACATTATTTCTAATTGATTCCGTGGGATCACCTCTCAATGGCTGGTAGACCTTCTCATTTGATAGTTTTTGTGTTAGCTGGTAGACCTTCTCATTTGATAGTTGGGCTTCCCCCGGGTTGTAATTCTTGCCCTTACGACCTCTCCTAATTTGAACCCTCACTTAACCCTAAATGTCCCGTGTGCCTAAGCTTAGTGAATGCACTAACTATAATGAAAGTGTAAAACTAGTTTGACTTACCTTCCAGGACCTTGCTGTGGAGGAGTAGCAGGAGTGCTAGCATGCATGTGGAGCACAGGAGCCAGCTGATTCCCCTCACCGGAAGTGACGGGGGTATAGCAATCTGACAGGGTATAGCAGAATGATAGAACACCGGCTCCAAGCTGACAACCAGTCTGGTTACTTCTTGGTTGAGCTAATCTCATGATGCAGGCTATTGCCCAGCACACCTGCCTTGCAAAGACTTCTCAATGAGCTGCAGAAAGTCTGGGCGGGGTTAGAAGAGTAGGGTTTTCAAAGGCAGCAGACAAGAGGCAGCTTTTGCAAGCATATTTTAGATATACCCCCAATGAGAAATGCAGTTGTGCTCAAAAGTTTGCATACCCTTGGAGAATTGATAATATATGTTCCATTTTTAAAGAAAACATGAGTGAGCAGGCAAAAAAAATGTTTTTAATTTCTTATGGGACTCATATTCAACTGTAGGTTATAACAGAATTGTACAATCATAAAACAAAACATGGCAAAAAAAAAATGAAATGACCCCTGTTCAAAAGTCTGCATACTTTTAGTTCCTAGTCCTGTGTGTTGAATCTTTTAGCATCAATGACAGCATGCAGTCTTTTATAATAGTTGTCTATGAGGCCCCTAATTCTTGCACGTGGTATAGCTGCCCATTCGTCTTGGCAAAATGCCTCCAGGTCATGCAAAGTCATTGATCATCTTGCATGAACCCCAAGTTTGAGATCTCCCTAGAGTTGCTCGATGATATTAAGGTCAGGAGACTGTGATGGCCACTCCAGAACCTTCACCTTTTTTTCTGCTGTAACCACTGGAGGGTCAACTTGGCCTTGTGCTTAGTGTCATTGTCATGCTGAAAAGTCCAAGAGCCTAACATGCGCAGCCTTCGTGCATAAGAATGCAAATTGTCTGCCAGTATTTTCTAATAACATGTTGTATTCATCTTGCCATCAATTTTCACAAGATTCCCCGTGACTTTAGAGTGCACACCCCCGCAAAACATCAGTGAGCCACCACCATGCTTCACAGTGAGGATGGTATAGATAAGACTTACCCTGTTCGAAGAGTGATGCCAGAAAGTTCATGATGTTAATCAAAGAGCCTGAAAAGGGATCGACGTCCCTCTCCAAACACCAGCTATTCCAACGTTGCCATGCTGTCGTCAATATAAGAGCATCTTGTTCCTGGGGCCCAAGAGTCCCATAGGAGTCCTCGAGCAGCAGTCGAAAGGCCAGAGATGTTCCAGGATCCCCTGAAATGGTCCAGGCCACCAACTGGAGATGGCCTTGTAGTGCTAGTGGATGGAAGTTGCCTGAAGGGTCCGTGAGGAGGTCGTAGGAGACGGGTAGGAGTAGGGGGTAGTCCGCTGACATCTCCAGGAGATAGGGGAACCATGGTTGGGTTCGCCACAGTGGGGTCACCAGTGTTATCGTGATGCCTGTGTTCTGAGGTATTGTACCGTGCGTGGGATCATGGAGAACGGGGGAAAGGCATATGCTCCAGATGTTGGCCACGGTTGGAGGAAGGCATCCACTGCCAGGCACGCTGGGTCTGGAAGCCAGCTGAAGAATGTGTCCGTCTGACGGTTCATGCGAGATGCAAACAGGTCCAGGTACAGTTGTCCTCTCAGAGCCTGCAGGTGATGGATCTAGTTTCCAGTTGCTGGAATCCCTCCAGTGGCGGGAGAACCAATTTGCAACAAGATTGTCGGAGCCCGGGAGATATTCTGCACAAAGGGAGATGTTCCTGTCCAGGCAGAATTGGTACAATTCCTTTGTCAGATCCGATAGCATCTTTGATCGGGAGCCACCAAGGCAGTTCATGTATCGTACTGCTGAGACATTGCCCATCCACAGGATAAGGCTGCAGTTGTACGCTTCCTTGGCAAAACTGTGGATCGCGAAAGAACCAGCAATTAGTTTGAGGCAATTGATGTGTAGTGCCTGTTCTGATGGGGACCAGAGGCCTCCGGTAGAACGTTCCGATCAAGTAGCACCACATCCGAGGAGGCTGGCGTCTGATTCCAGAATGAAATCGGGTTGTCGGCCAACGATAGCCCTGGAATAGGCTTCCATATGTTGAAGCCACCAGTGGAGTTCCAATTGTACTTCATCTGTTAGAAAAATCTGTTGTTCGTAAGATGTTGAACGATGTAAGTAGTGTGTTTTCAAACGTTGCATTGCCCGATAGTGTAGTGGGGCTGGAAATATTGCATGGATTGAGGCGAAGAGTAATCCGATTGTGCGGGTTAAATCCCTGATTCGAGATATGGTGAAGCCAGCAATCTCCGGATGTCCTTTTTTATGGTTTTGATTTTCGTGGCAGAGAGTTGTAGAACTGCCTGAATCGAATCTATCTGAAATCCCAGAAACGGTACCGTCTGAGACGGAGTTAGATAAGATTTTTGAAGGTTGATATCAAAACCCAAATTCTGGAGGAGAGCCGAAGTCATATCTGTATGGAGACGTAGCGTCTCCTCGTCTTGAGCCATAAGGAGGATATCGTCCAAGTATATGATGGACCGAATCCCTTGTGAACGGAGTAGCGCCATCACCAGTTTCATTAGTTTGGTGAAACACCAAGGTGTGGAGCACAGTCCGAAGGGGAGACAGGTGAACTGCCATAGTGTTTTGCGCCAATGGAATTGGAGGAAGGTGTGGTGTTCTGGCGTGATTGGTACCGTGAGGTATGCATCCTTAAGGTTGAAGTGGAAGAACCAATCTCCCTCTCAGAGGAGGTACCATAGTAGATGGATGCCTTCCATCTTGAAATGTCTGTATTTGATGAATTTGTTCAGCTCTCTTAAATTGATGACTGGTCGGAACTCTCCCGACTTTTTCTTGACCAGAAACATGTTGCTCATGAAACCTCGTGGGCTGAGGGATTGTTCGATGGCACCCTTGGTGATAAGGTTGTCGAGCTCGACCTGAAGGGACATGTCGTCTATTTGAAATATTCTGAGGGGGTAGGTAAAGATCTTTGAACTGGGTTCTCTGTGAATTCTAGGTGGAAGCCAGACACGGTCTGAAGGATCCATGGGTCCTGTGTGAGTCGAGACCACTGTTGGGAAAAATGGATTAATCGGCCTGCTATAGGTATATGAGAAAAATGAAAGTCCATTACCTATAGGAGTGCGACCGCGGAGGGAAGCAGATCCACGTCCTCTAATAGAGCCACGAGATGGGAAGAAGTGTTTGTGGTGGAAACGGGTATTGCCCGATTTCCAGTGTTCAGAAGGTCGAGGCCTGTAACCTGTGAAGGCAGCTCTGCCAGCCGACCGGCCTCTGTAACGGCTGGCTCTCCCGGAAAAACGTTGGGTCCTAAACACCTTGCGTAAGGAGGATTGCGCTTTGGTAAATGTTGTAAACACCGCAACGTGTTTGCTTTACTCCTTAATAAATGTGTCTCCAAAAAGCATGCCTTGTGCCTCAGGGCCAAGCTCTTTAGTGCCTAGTCCGGCGAGCTTTGAGTCAATTTTGTATAGGGCGGCTTTCCGCCTTTCGGTTGACATGATGTGCCCATTCACACACCATGTGCGGATCTAAAGTGACACCTGCCAAAGCCTCATCCGCAATACTGAATATTTGGATAAGCGGTCCCGCCATATCCATCATCTTATGTTGAGTTGCCTTCAGGCCTTGTTCCAAACCCTTACGGGGATCTTTTCCTGATTTATATAAGAAGGTGATGAGCAAGGGATCAAATTCTGGGGTAACAGCTACCTTGTCTGGGATAAAAGGTTGTGGGCATTCTGCTCTTAACTTAGCTCTCACTTCCTTTTCCAAAGGCTTACGCAGCCACATCCTGCAGAATTTAGCAATGTGGTCTGGGGGGTCCACTCAGTCGACCGTGGGTGTTTGATGTACCTAGGGTCGAGGGTATCCAGTAAAACATCCTCAGAAATGGGGTTAGAGTCAGAGGGGGGTTCATTTAGTTCGTGACAGGGAAAATCCTCGTCCGAATACCCTGCACAGTATTCGTCAATCACTTGAAGTTGCAGGTTGGAGGTGGAACCCTCTAATGGATCCAGGTTATAATTGGGGTTATTATCCCGAGTATCTGGAATGGATAATCTAGGCGTTTTAGCCGGTGCTTTGCCTTTACCGGCGGTAGCACTATCGCTCTTCCAGGGGCGTTTGCGGGGTTTTCCTCATGGTCTGAGCCTTTTGACTCTTCAGAGTCTGACAAATGCACAATAGGAGCTCTAGAGGTGGATTTTGACTGGTCGTGGAAAGCTGCTAAGTCTTTTGGAATAGAGTCCGCAATGGCGTTATACAGCCAAGCTTTGAGCTCCGCAGGGACTGCTGGTTCAGTCAAATTGGACATAATTGCATTAAAGTGGGGTCACCACATGTAATATATAAAATATATAATAATTTTTTTTTTTTATAAGAAATAATTCAATAGGTGGTGGACTTGTTTTTGGAAAAGTAACGCAAAGCGTTGTATCAATAGTGGTGTCAGCATAGGCGTGCGCAGCCTATTGCATTAGGGTGTGCACCCTAAAGCACAGGCACACGCCGCGTATATGTATGTATGTATGTATATATATATATATATATATATACACTGCTGTGTGAGGGTGCTGGTAGTGTGCTATGTGGGTGTTTGTGTGTGTGTGCGCTTGTGAGGGTGCTGTTAATGTAATGTGTGTGAGGGTGCTGTTTGTGTGTGAGGGTACTGGTAGTGTGCTGTGTGTTTGTTAGGGTCCTGTTAGTGTGCTGTGTGAGGGTGCTGTTTGTGTTTGTGAGGGTACTGTTAGTGTGCTGTGTGTGTGTGAGGGTGCTGTTTGTGTTTGTGAGGGTGCTGTATGTGTGTGGGTGCTGTATGTGTGTGGGTGCTGTGTGTGTGTGTGGGTGCTGTATGTGTGTGTGGGTGCTGTGTGTGTGTGTGTTGGTGTTGTGTGTGTGGGTGCTGTGTGTGTGGGTGTTTTGTGTGTGATATGTGTGCTGTTTGTGTGCTGTATGTGTGTGTGCTGTGTGTGTGTGCTGTATGTGTGTGCTGTGTGTGTGTGTGTGTGCTGTTTGGGTGATTTGTGGGGGTGGAGGTGGGGGCAGAATAAAGATCCCCCCTCCCTTCTTACCTTATGTAGGGAGGGGGGACCGTGCTGTGCCTTCCCTGGTGGTCCAGTGGAGGTGGGGGCAGATTGCTTAATATCCCCGCTCCCTTCTTACCTTATGCCAGGGAGGAGGGATCCTTTCTGCCTTCCCTGGTGGTCCTAGTGGTGAGAGTGAACTCTAGCCTGCGGGGCTAAAGTTCACTCTCGTGAGATCTGAGTGTTGACGCGGTAACCACGGCAACGCTCAGATCTCGCAAGAGGAACCCGGCAGAGCTGCTGGCAAGAGCTCCTGCCTCCCTCCCTGCCCGTGGGTCGGTGGGGAGGGAGGTTGAGAGCAGAGCTGGCGCTCAGATAGCGCCGGCTCTGCATGAGCCGACAGGAGGGATCCTGAGATCTACCCTGCCGGTCTCAATACATAGGCGTGCCGCAGGGATTAGGGTGTGCCCAGGCACACCCGGCACACCCTGTGCGCACGCCTATGGGTGTCAGTCACCAATTGAGCGTGAAATCACCCACAAATAAAATGCGGTAGAAATAATCAGAGTAGTACAGATTAATGAGGGGGTCACCCTTTAGGAGGCAAAAAATGGCCTATAAAATAGAGGGGGTCACCCTCGGTAAATTTGAGGCAATATTAATATACTTTTTAGAGGGGGTCACCCGCTATAATGAGGCAGACAAATATAGTATGGAGGGGGTCACCCTCTGTAATAAGACAATATTATTTAGTATAGAGGGGGTCACCCTCTATATGCAAGGGTTTTTAGAGTTTAGATGGTAATCTGAAAGTAAAACAAAGTGAAGACACTTTAATAAAAGAAATGTACCAGCTAAGTGCTGTTTAATTAGATGTATGCATTATATGTATTGGTTTTTTATGTAACTTACCTGACTAACCAGAAGAAGGCGCTGGAGAGCCGTGGAGATCACCTAGCTGCAACTGACGTTGATGGTGGAGAAGAAGCGTGGGAAAAAGCCTGCGCAATGCAGGGGGAAGGAAATGGCCGCGGGAGGACGGACCTGTCGCTATGGTGACGGTAGGGAAACGAACACGGCAATACAGGCGGTGATATCGATGTGTTTCGGATGTGACAGAAGTTGCAGACGGCGGTAGTTTAATTAAAGAGATAGTGATTCAAACGTTGAGTTTAAGGGTATTTGGAAAAACGACCTGATAGTTTATTGAATTACAGAATGAACTATAAAGCAATATAGTTATGTTGGGTGAAGTAGAAATAAATTAAACCATGTTAATATTCATATTTTTAGAAATTGATTACATGCTGTTATTGGAATAGACTCACCTGGGAGGCTAAGCAGCAAAGAAAGAGGAGCTGTGAGGAGCCTGATGACTGGACATACTCTATTGTACACTCTGATTGGTTACATTTTTTACTTACTGTTAACTGTTTCTTTGCTGCTGGGAGTTACAGTAAAGAAAGTACAGCAAATATGAAGCCTCCTGTCTTGACATAAAATTCTGATTTAGCTCACGCACATCAAGGGACACGAGGGAACTATACTCAAGCAGCACAGTGCAAGCGTATAATTAGATGCGCTTGCATTGTGCAGCAGGCAGGTCCACGTGGACAATACTTCAGCATGGTTATTGATGGGTACTTGACAGCAGTGTGACTCGTTTGCTTCACTGGATGGGCCAGACCATTATGAGTGTCGCTAGTGACACAAGTTGTGTTACTGGTAACACCACCATAAAGCCCGCCAAACCATCCCCATTATATAATATACTACGGCCTCAATTTAATAAGCTTTCAAATTATTAAATACAGTAAGTAAAATCTTCTAATTGATTTATCTACAGAATTCACCATTGAAATCTATGGGAACTTTTGCAGATAAATAATTTGGAACATTTTCTTAATATTAAATCACCTGGAAAGCCTATTAAATTGAGGCCAATTTTGCAAAGTGTGTAATGCAGCTCAAATATCGATGTGCTTGTGGCACACTGTGTCTAAGATGCATTAGTGAGGATATTTTATTAATGGTTGGGTTAATATAGATGGTAACTGCATATAGTGGAAATGAACCTGTGTATTAAGTAAAACCTCACCCAGAGGCTCCATGTTAGGGGGTAAATCCTAACGTATCAATAGACAGATTGTTATCTTAGATTTGATTTGCAATGCTGTTTGCATGCTATTCATAAGACATATAGCTTTCCTTGGAGAGTTCATCAAATACAGTTTTTTAGTCCACCCTGCTAGGAGTGAAACATACCATTTGTATCTGTACGTATGATCACAAGCACATATCTGATTGGTCCAAATGTAACACAGACTATTTTTTATTTTGTTTTGTTACATACAAAACCAATATATTAATCCCCCCTTTTAAAGATCCTAAACCTCAGAGATCCATGGGCCACTGCGGTTATATCAGGTGGCTTTGTCGGTTAATATAGATGTTTAGATTATTTTTCTTATGTAAAGTTGGTATTTATGGATAATATGATTTCTGGATGAGTATTGTGTAGTGCAAATGAGATCACAAAGAACAAAATTATTTGAATAGCTTGTGTTTAGGGAAACAAAGAATAAATCCAAGGACCAGCCAAATACAATCTTCATAAATAATAAATAATGAAACCTGTACTTTAATGTTGTGGAAATGATTAATGAATTGGTCAAACATGTTTTTCTAAATTTCTAGAAATCACATATGCTATTTCAGTGCATTGTGATTCTAAAGTTGGTTAAGTGGAAAACAAAGCAAACGGAAAAGATACAGATGTGTGCAGATACAGGTAGGCTGAAAACATGATCACCCTGAACAGGAGCCGGTTTCACCAGTGTAACCAGTGTCATGCTATTATGTTTGCTATCACAGTTACCAACCGCCTGTAAAATTGCTTAAGGGGACACTCCAGGCACCCAGACCACTGCTGCCTATTGGAGTGGTCTGGGTGCCAACTCCCACCACCCTTAACCCTGCAAGTGTAATTAGTTTTATAAACTGCAATAAATACCTTGCAGGGTTTAGTCCTCCTCTAGTGGCTGTCTATCAGAGAGCCACTAGAGGGACTTCCGTGTTCTTACAACCTGAAAAGTGTTTTAAATTACGCTGGACGTCCTCACGCTATGCATGAGGACCTCCAGCGTCATGGAATCCCCATAGTAAAGCATTGAATAATGCTTTCCTATGGGGACGTCTAATGCGTGTGCACGCGCCATTGCCGCGCATGCGCATTAGGTCTCCCCCACCGGCTGACATCGGCGGAGGAGGAGTGTGGGCGGAGCCTGACCCAACGCTGAGGGACATCGCCGCTGGATTCAGATAAGTCACTGAAGGGGTTTTAACCCCTTCAGCAACATGGGATTGGGGGTGGGAGGGAGAGGGGCACTGCAGTGTCCTGCAGTGCCAGAAAAACAGATATGTTTTCCTGGCACTGGAGAGTCCCTTTAATTTAGTTAGAGTATTTCTTAATGTCATGTCATTTTCCCCATTCCCCTGTGTCCCCCATGTCCCCCTGAATTATGTCCCCCTCCAGTAAGGAGGGGTTGACGTCAGCAGAACAAAGCCAAGGGAGAATTTATTTAAAAAAAAATTTGGTGGTGGGGGATAGGACACAGTACAGCAAGGGGTACTCTAACTAAAAGCAGTTTTTTATGAAAACACTTTTTTTGTTGTTGTAGTAACCATTTAATATGGAAATATTCAATCAGAGACATAATCGCAGGTATAGAGGTCTGTGAAGGACACACGCATAAATAGGCATCTTGCATGGCACTGGATTTACTGGGTTCCATGGGCCTGGGAGGTAAAAAATGTGATCAGCCAAATAAGGAAAGGTGAATTTCCATTGCCATATTACTTATGGACCACATGTGTGACATTCTACCACTGGTCTATATTACATCTGGACTCTTATGTAGGATTGTGATGTCACATATCTTGCTTTGAAGCTGTGCACACATTATGGAACTCAGGTTAGTACTATGAATCCAATAATAAACAAAAAGATTGGAATACCTCTTTAGTGGAAACAGCCTATTTCATACAAAGTTCTTTAAAAAAAAAACACACAAAAAAAAAACAGACCAGTTAAATTGTGGCAGCTTGGGCCCATTTCAATGCACATGTCTTAAAGTTGCAGCTACAGTAGA